AACTGCCGTGCGACCGTTCCCACTAGATAGAACAATCAATCAATTCATGAAGTTAGTTCTACAAGGATTCGTCCGGAGTGAGAGTTACACGCTCCAGAACACCTCGTCAAAGTCCCGCCCTGTTTGTCCAAAGTGCCCTGATTTCGCTAGTAACATTATCATACACTTTGTCGAGTCCCACCAATACTGTCCATTGTGTGATATTGACAACGTCAGCCATGTTCCGCAACGCCTCACTAGGGCCCATGGTATCGCCATAGATTTAAGGGTAACTCGAGTGTTAAAGAGGGAGTTATCTATAGAATCCAATTCTCGATGGTCAAATTACTAAACATTGAGAATTACGATAATGGGGGAAGCCTCGCTTCGCGACCAGGGGAAAGAGGCTTTATAAATCCAACGGTGGTGCCTGAGCTAGAAGGAAGGCCTACGAGAAGATCTACCACTCAATGGTGCTTTAGTGGATACTGTTATTACTCTGCCCATTCAAAACAGTGCCTCAAACGCAAAATGCGGCTTCTACTTGGGCCTGTAAACGGAACATGAGCCACGCCAAAGGAATCGAACGCTTTACCCGACGACCAAGGGACGTGATTTTCAAACGGCTTCCTTACGCGCTTCCTTCGGATAAACGATTCAAGGTTCTTGTCGTCGCCGTTGCGTGTTCGCCAGATGAAATCACGTCCTTGGGATTTCCGTTGAGAGCCTGACCGGTCTTCAGTTTATGGACCCAGCGCTATACCTTTTTTGCCCGTAGACAGGCTTTCCTCTACTTCTGGAATAGTACGATGGATCAAGAAGCGAACCCACTAAATACTTTATTCCAAGCTCACCTGCTAGAAGTATCGAGACTGAGAACCCATCAAGGCTCCTACAGAGGAAGTCGTTCTCGCTTTCCGGTAGAGAAAGACCGCGTAACGACCGTAGCCATTAGGAGATTCCACTGGGACCACTCTCGGGGAACTTGCACTGGGCCGCGAGGAGCTGACTGCGAACATCTAAATGCCACCACGAAGCTACGGATCATAAAGCTAGGGCATCGGCTTCTTCACACGAATAGAGTGCTCGAGGATCTAGTAAATTACTTAACAAAAATATAGTAGTTCATGTAAGTTCTGATGTTAGCCATGTCGAAATCTTACCTCAAGATTGAACCCTGTCAGTGTGAAAGACTTAGGCAACAGCGAGGAGAACGCACATCCGGAGACAGTGGGGGCCGTCGCCGACATCCAACCAACATATACTGTAGTCCCATAGGAAGTTGTCAGAGATTGAGATTGCAACCAAGCAATCGAAAAGAAACTCGCTTGACTAGCTTTTCAAGAATAAGGTGGCTTGTGACGAGTTGATGATAGCCTTGTCTAATGCCGGTACAACGGGAAGAGCTGCTCTGGCGCTGGCCATATTGTGAGAGGATATGGCTATTCCTCGAGGCACTTACGCGGCTAACATCCACAGGTGTGGCTCTCTCCAGGGGGTTTAATCAACATTTACTCGAAGTCAGAGAGCGGTCAACATCCCCACTGCCACCACTGAACTAGATATGTATGGGCCTTGTGTGACGTTGTCCATCGTGGCGCATCAACTTGTGCAGTACAAGACTCCGTACCTCTTCTCTACAATGATGCGGGTAGGCTTGCAAAATAATTCCAAATCCACTTGAGATTTTTCGATGACGTTTCAACTCTTTGTTTGATAGCGAACATATCAAATTCAGGCATCACACCTCTTCCAACCAGACCCTTTTTGAAGGTGTTCAGCAGGCTACTTTTGACAAGTAAAGAAGCCTCTCTGGTGATGGCCATGAAAGGTGGCACAAATTCTGTTGTGCCTCACGGTTCAAAGAAGCAGCCCCGGGACCGTCGCGCTCCTTCGCACCGAGGATGCTGGCTTCGTCAATACCTTTTGGTGAGGGAATGACTTCACCACTCCTTTCAGCATCGAAGCATCACTGTCTAGACATATGACGAACTATGGTCGGCCGTGGAGCCGGTCACTTCGATTTTCGCATCTACAGCCGGCCTCCCCCCACCTCCCTCGCTGTTGAAGGCAAGACGAATGATTGAGACATAGAGAGGGAGAGGTGACAAGTTCGCGTAGGTACTTTAAGATCTGTATGATAATGAAAAATAGGGACCGCTGCGCCGTACCAATGTCTCCGCACTGAGGGGTCCCCATCGTCGCCGACGACAGCATGCACTCACTACAATTTCCGCATCCTGTTGCTCCCCCTGTACGAACGAGGGCGCACTCCGAGCGAAGCCAAAGAGACGCCCGCGTCCTCGAGGATGGGCGCTGCTCCCGATTTGGATCGCCAGAGGACACTTAACGCTGACGGAGGGGGCAAGTAACGGATCGCTCGCGTCCTCTTTCTCGGGTATGTGTGCTGCTTGAAGACTTCGAGGATTACTAGTACCGTGATCTGTAGAGAGCTGTTAACGACCTCCGACCATAGGGTGGATGTAAGCGTTCTCTTTCATCTCATTTCTCTGGAATTTTTTTTTCACGTCTTACGACTTCGGATTTAACCCCGCGCACAAGAAGCTTGCCGGTTGTGGCCCATCATAACCGTCAAACGCATGATCACTAGCACTTTCTCTCCCATAGCCTTCATCGCCGACGCATCCGCCGCCCTCACGTCTCTCCTCGCCGATTCTCTCTTCGTGTCCTTCCGCCCTCGAATCTCGATCCCTGCCGGTCTTTTTTCAGGTGCAGAATATTTCGGTCGGGGAAGAGCGTCTACATTCAATGCACCTGACACGACGTGGAGCCATCAGGCTTTGTGGCCTGCATCAAGACGGACAACGCAATCCTGCGGCGATCAGCATGTCCTTCCGAATCTGTCAAAGACCGAGCTTTAAATATCGGTCCAAGATACTCAGTGGCATAGTCGGGACGGCCAGCCCTTTCAGCTTCCTCTTGCCAGTCTCCCACACCTGAATACGTCAACAACAATAATCGGACGTGAACATTCAATACTTACCTTGCGAAGTTGGCTAAATACGGCAAGCTCCTCTTTGGTACCCCACGGGTATGCCTTGGCACCATCATCCCACAAGGATTGAATGTACTCTAACTTGCGGCTAAACTCTCTCGCCGGCTCTTCGTTGGTGATTTTCGGGTGATCCCGTTCGTAAAGAGATAGAAGCAACACTCTCACCATGTTTCTAGAATCCCAGTGCATCGTTCCAGTCATCAGGACGTCCGTGATCGAGTAAGGCGCGTGGACGCGTCCGGGAGGTTGAATCAAGAGATCTCCTGGGGAGAGATAAATGGCATATGGAGCTGGCCTCGGCGCTATGTCTAGGCCGATCGCCCACGTGTGCAGTTCTTCATCGGTGAGCTCTGGGTAGATCAGCCACAACTTTTCACCTTCTTCGCATAATACCGTGGTGATGACACCATGATGGTCCCTGTGAGGCAAGGAAAATACTCCGGTTTTGCCGAAAATCTGGAAGCCGACACACGACGAGAGATCAGATGGCTGGCTTCGGCTGCGCTTGCCGCTCTGGTTCTGTTCCCGTGTGTCTCGCAGAATGCTGAATGCCGGTATGTTGGCGATACAGGGAGGAATCTCATTCTGCTTATACAGGTCCAGATTCAGAAAGTTAACCGGCCAACCCTCCTGATTTTGGAAAACTCGCATGGCATCGGCAGACTTCATTTTCTCTGGAAGTAGATATTTCCCCGTCTCATCGACTCGGGTATCGTACTTGTGCACGTCAATGGTGGGTTTCGTCGAGAGGTATCGCAAATATTCGTCTCTGGTCAGTACCCGGCCTGGCGAGTCTTCGCCGGGGATCAGCAAAGGAATCGCCGGAGTCCCTGCCTGCAGAATCTTATGCGCCTCCTCGCTTGAGCACACGACGTACTTGTATCGAAAATCCGTGTCCGTCGCATGGCTCTCCCAATCAACCGCGGCATATTCCTCGTACGTGATTGGGTCCCCTGGAAGCCGTCGTAGAAATTCGCACTCGTACTGCGGGAGCTCCTTCTCGAGTCTCGTCAGACCGTGGCCGCCCTGGGGAAGGTCGGACAGTTGTCTTCGAATCTGATCACAACACCTCTGTGCCGCGAGCTCGGTCAGTGCTCGGCGCCGCCGCCGCCGCCCGTCGCCGGATGTCTGCAACTCGGCCTGTAGGTGTTGGGAGTTCCAGCCATGCTTCGCCTCCGGTAGAGAAGGCTCATTTTGCGTTTGCGGACTGTTTTGAATGGGCAGAGTACTACCAATATCCGCCAAAGCACCTTCAAGTGGGGGATCTTCTCGGCGGGCCTTTTTTCTAGCTCGAGCGCCATCGTTGTATTTATGAGGTCTCTTTCCGCTCGGATACTGGTCAGGCGGCGGAGTTTCTCCATCGTGGTAATCTTTGTAATGTTTGGGAATGTGACCGATGGGAATCGAATTCTCTGGACAACCCCCTCTTTGACACTTGAGTTTCTCTCTAACCTTGCGGCGGTAAATCTTGTGGCTTTTGGTGAGGTGTTGCGAAACATGGCCGATGTTGTCAATATCACACAATGGACAGTAACGGTGGGACTCGACAAGGTGTATTATAATGTTATCAGCGGGCTTAGAGCATTCTGAACAATGAGGGTGGGCATTGATGAGGTGTTCTTGAACGTTTTCCACGCGAATTTCACAAGTTGGACAGTATTTGTGGCAACAAATAAGATGATATAGAGCTCGCACAACGTTTGACTCACAATCCGGACAATAATGATTAGAGCTAATCCTGTCATATAGTGAACCATAATCCATTACAGTCGTTATGTGGATGTAG